TTACGCAACTTTTTCTCGCCTTACCCTAACCAGAATAGTTGATGCACTTTAATATGAATTCGTTGTTGATTAAACGTTACACGTTCCGATAAAATCATTTATTTTTAACGTCTCCTCTTTTGCTAGTTTTGTTTTAAGGGGCTGTTTAAACTTTAATTTTTTGCTTGAGTGTACTTTTTAAGCACCCAAACGTTCCATAACTAAGTAGGAAGGAGTTAAATGGCCTCAAGTTTACTTTTCTCGTAGCCTCGTACACCAAAGTTGACCTTCAGAGGGCATTTACCGTAGGTCATTAGAGAGATTCATCACATACTCTTGTGTCAACGCCGTCAAATAGCCTTCTATTTTACCGTCAAATGACGCAATAACTCTGACACATTTTAGCAGATTCTACCATTTTCGAATACAGCTCCCTAGACACATTTTTACCATTGTGATCTCACTATTTAAACTCTATTGTTAGTCTGAATTAGTTTACTTATGGTGCAACATATATTTGATAGGGTTACTAGTACTATCAATATACAAAAAAATAGAAAATTCTGCTTATCTACATAAGAAGTGAACTGCATTACCATTTTTAGCATTAAGGACTAGAGCGATTAATTTTCTTTGCCATTGCATGTTTATTTTCTTCTGTTAAGTAAGATACGTTAAACGATTATATCAATTTTTATGTTGTAATCAATTTATTACCAGCCAAACTGATGCAGCTGTAATTTCAATAAAATCAATTCTATTCCGCAGTTGAGTATAGAATGACGGAAAATAAAGCCATTTTACATAATAAATATAAAAAACACTTTATAAATAATAAAAACTAAATGTGCCTTATACTGAAACAAAGACCTGGAATATGAACTTCCACGGATTACTAAAATAAGTTAAGCTATGAAATGTCATAGTAATATCCTAGTTAGATTATTTTCAGATACACTATATTTTATTTGAACTTTCAGGACGAATATTGGAGTGGACACACGGTAGCGCTGACCTAAGGTGACATATTTTGTTCAGTTCAGCTGATGCTTCTAAAGTTTTATTACATATGTTTGTATGACTCTGTCGGATAAAAGTGTTGAAATAGTATATTTCGTACCTAGGGCCGAAAATGAGGTTTTGCTGGCTCGAGATAGTTTTTAAGTTCGAGACGAAGTCGAGAACTTAAATCGATTGAGAGCTGCAAAACCATTTCGGTCCGTGGTTCGAACGCTATTTTTCACCACACTATTTCCTATTACCACTATTCGCCACTATAATAATGCACACTGATAGTCAACACAACTACAACTTTAAGGTTATGTGAAGAAATAATTTGAGGAATCAGCAAAAATAAAAATAAATAGTTGCTAGGCAACAGTGACAAAATTCTATTGCAATGCTATAAGATTATTTGTATTGTAAGGTACATATTTTTGTACCAAATAGTGTGATATTGTTTTTCAGTTGTTTTTGTTTGAAGGAAGAAACGTTTTGATTCATTCTTGTAGTTTGACTAAAATTCGTTATTGTTTGACTGCAGAGTTGATTAGTATGTCACACAAAATGTCACCTGGTCTTGAATGTTTAGTAATTTATTTCGTCCCAATTTGTACGTGAAATCTTCAAGCGTCGGTTCATATACAGAATGTGTGTTAATGTGTTAATTCAAAGATGAAATTAAACGCAGAATGTCTACAGTAAAGGCGGTAATGATATTAACACGCAACGCGGGAGTTTACCCCCTCACCTCAACCCCCTTTATATATATATACACGCACACACACACACTCGACGTAGAGACAGTAGGAGCGCGTCGTTTGTAACGCAATGTTCGTAAAGACTGTGAATATTACTACGTAGCATCGTCCTCTTTATGATACACTTCTGGTTCCTCCACACCCTTTCATTACGTTTGTTACGCCTCTTACGCGATAAACTCGTAGTATTGTGTACATTAGTTATATGTTAGATGAGTTCATCCACAATGCACACCTGATTGTGGTTTTTATACGATTTTTAATTTGGAAGCATCGTTTGATGTGTTACCTGTAGGAATGTTTGAGTACGCTGTTAACATAAACAGTAGTGGTTTACTTCTTATTTTAGCCTATATTGAGATAAGGTTCTTTACTATTAGATTAGGTTGAAGTAACAGAGAAAAACAGATTGGTAATAAATAGTTATGTTGGTTGAATGAAACTAAACGTTTAGTAAAAAAAAACTAAACTTTCTTTACATTTACTGGACAGAAGTAATGTGAAAAGTCTTTAACTAATCCCTTGCAAGCTATTTAATATATTTTTCTATTATTACAAATAAATTGTAATAAATTGTAAATTATTGTAATTGGTTCGCATTATTTCAGTACATTATTTAACCTTGGCTAACTCTCTGAAATTTAATTGCCCTCACTACCATTGTGTACGATAAAACACTCATTATTGTAGAAAAATGCAAATATTTTATTTTATTTTTAGCCAGTTAAAGAAGAAATAACAAAGTTCAGTTTAAAATATCCAAGCAAGCTTGAAAAACACTTTAATTACCTGGCTCTAAACCTCGTTGAAAACAGTAATGAAAGAGTTCATTTTTTAGACCCAAGTTCACGTTTTGTTTAAGTAATATTTATATAACTTATTTTCATTTAAATATTTTTTTAAGCTGCATTTGTCAATAGAATTAGATTAGAAATTTTTTGTTACTGTCTAATTTGCTAATATTTGCTGAATGTCCAAAAGTAGATCTATCAATTAAACTTGATAGTACTTGGTAGTAATAATAAAAGATTACCCTGGTTTTGTGGTTAAACTTTCACATGACGTTTAAAACAGAAAATGTATGATACTCACACAGAGAAAAGGTGATTTTTGTTGACATATAACTGTACCGTGTTTAGATGACCTTTGCACCCCCATAAAGGTCACATCTTTTGTAACTAGGGTTGATTGGCTGTATTGTTTTACCTCGGGCAATAAATGTCATTGTGAACTTTAAGGTTTGATATTTTGTTAGACTTATTTTCGCATGTTGTTTAAGCGAAATAGAATAGGAAGGCGGTATTGTCATCTCATAGGTACAGTTGGTCAGATCAATTCGGTTTTACACATGATTAGCTTTTGTTTATACAGTACTGTGTATTTTTGTTTATTTGTTTCGAAATGGATATTTTCACATAATATGTGCTATTTAATTGATTTTATTGACGAATAGGATTTATAGATGCTTACTGAAAATTAATCAGGAATGTGGGATTACACGCCAATAACCTCCAATAGTGGCTTTCAATAGTTGTGCACTGTCCGGGGAAATGTTCGATATCGGTCGTACTGATAACTACCAGCTCAACAATCAAACTGATCGAGTACGATATCGGTCGTACTGATAACTACCAGCTCAACAATCAAACTGCTCGAGTACGATATCGGTCGTACTGATAACTACCAGCTCAACAATCAAACTGATTGAGAACGAGGTAAAGGATCACAAAAAAAATATTTATATATACACTGTAAACGCTTATAAGATTTTTAGGTTTTGGTTGATAGCTATACAATATGTCATGGATGGAGGAGGATATCAAACATTGTGAAAATTTGCAGGTGCCTAATTAATTTTTTTTATGATAGGGTACCTTCTATTGTATTGCCCTTTTCTCCATTTACAAAAAGAAATGTAAGAGTCATTTGAAATTTAATGAAAAATACTAAGGATGAAAGTTAATCCACAACCATTTTTGAAAAAAAAAAATAATTCTACGATTAATGATATTATTTAATTTAACATTCGTTGAGTTTGAATATTATTTAATTAGAGAAATTATGTAATGTTTGCTTTTAATAGGATTGAACTAAACTAATATACAACTACTTGTTTTTAACAAACAGGTGAAGAGATGTCAAATAATGCTAAAGAGTAAAGCATAAAGAAAGAAAACGTTTTGTTTTGTGAGCAACCTGTCCGGAAGCATTAAGTAAATTTAAAACGCCATAATATTTACCGATCAAGGATTCGTCTCGTGTTACAAAAATTGCGAACTTTGACTACAATGTAGTTTAATGTATAACCAATCGTCTTGGTGATGTATACCATAGACACAATGTAGGCCTACTAAATGTGTAAAACATTCTTGATTCGATTATGTTCAATTTGGCAATATTATCGGACGTTAGATCATCACTTCTTACAAAAATGTTTGGTAGAAGTTTTGATGATAATTTATGAAAGGTTAATAATTTCAATGTTTTAAACTATAGCTAAAAGACACATTTACTTATGGACTATCTACGAATCAATATCATTAATTCTTCATCGTATTTGTATTGTTTTGCACAATATTCCTTAAGACTTAGCGCAAAGAGGGCGGGAAAGTAAATCTAAGCGATTGAACATTTTATTTGACGTGTATTGCGATTAAAAGTTGACAACGTCAGTCAAGCGTCCCGTATGATGGAGTGCGCCGATATTTATTGCTGTGTTATTCAAGGCAACTGACGCACCGGATTGACGTATGTTGGTTCCCGTCAGGAAAATGTCGACATTTTATATATATTTTTGTAAAATTGTATTTAAAGATGTAAATTGGTTTTATTTGCCTCTGAGATCGTTGCCACACTTTTATTTGATCTTCACAAGTGAACCTTTTTACATTTTTACATGTATAGATTATACATACGTTTCTGTAAAGGAAAGGTCTAGGTAAATTTGTATTGATAATAGATCAAAAAACTTAGACACGGTTATCTCTTGCTGATCAAACAAAAATATAAAAAGCTTTTACGCACGAAAAAACACGTTTAAAATAGTTTTCACATAGAATAAACGCGTTAAAGGAAAATTATGAAATGAAGTACAACATAGATTTTTATTGAAATAATATTATGACGTCACAGTAATATAGTTTTATTACATATTAATATATTAATATTACACATTTGTAGGGTAAAATAATATATTTCGGTTCCCAATTATTCTTAAATCTTCAATCGAGCGTACTTTTCAACAGCTGATGCGTGTTCCAGGTGCAAAAAGCCCGGGAGATACCCCGACGATCTTCCCGCCACTTCCGTCATCATCTGCTTCCACAACGAGGCGTGGTCCGTCCTCCTCAGGACCGTCCACTCGGTGATAGATAGGTCTCCCCCCAGACTACTGCACGAGATCATACTGGTGGACGACTTCTCTGATATGCGTGAGTACCTGGAGTTTGAAATATTTAAAACCCTTGCAAAATCTAGAGTCAAAGTCAGTATTATAGTCTGTAAGATGGTAGGTTACCTGTGTCTTGACCGGAGGGGCCAGTCCCAGGTAAACGGAGAGTCAGGAGACATGTTTCATCATGCAGACTTTAGCCCATGTTGGTGAACCGGAGTTGATTGTACAGTATACCACAAGTCAGTGATATAAGATTGCAGGTATATAAATTTATAATTTTGTTCAGTTGTTACGTAGATTACCTGTGCACTCTTCGTAACAGTTCATAATGTATCTGTGTACTTTGGTACATAACCTGTAGCTTTTTTTTAAACTGTTATCTACATAGTTTCAACGTTTTTATTGAGCTTGTGTGTCGTGAAACATTTAAAAAGTATTGTAAAATCTACTATTGTTTCTACCGATCTTCGTGTTGGATGAGTTAAATGACTACAGTATGATAAATACCTAGGGGAGAGCTGGTCTGGTAGAGCGCAGGACTACTGTCCCCGAGATCTTGTGTTCAAATCCAGGTCATCACCAATAGATTTTATCCAAGTGATCATCCGCGACCCCCTCTAGAACTAGACGGAAGTGATGTGGAAACGATTCGGGGCAAGAGGCTAGTAGTAGTAGAGTTTAAAGCAAATATTTACTTTTTATCAGCTCCTAATCTCTTTTACACCCCTACACAGTGTTTGCTAGGAAACTCATCGGTGTAAAAATATTATTATAATAATTGCCAAAAATATAGTCTGTTTCAAACATAGCAAATCCATTCACAAAACTATTCATTATATTCAACTTATTACCAATTTGATTTTTGTATAGATAGTACTGCCACAACATAAAGCATAGTCATGTGTAGCATCCCACCAATCCTAAAGGAGGTGATGTGACATTTTTCCTGAAATTACACTATTTTTTGCATTTAGTCTGTGTAAACGAATCTCATAAAAAGGAAAAAAAATATTATGCTTGATTTATTTTACTCCCCTTTGAGCTGCTGGATAAAAAGAAAATTGCTATCGTAGTTGACATTATTCGCGACAAAAAGTTGGGAACGAAGAAGGTCGAAGCTGTTTCCGTTCGCGGCCAAATTGCCCTTAAATCATCCCCTAAGATCTAACCCCCTTCTACCCCCCATCATCCCCTACTTGCGCCTAATGATCTACAAAATGTGCAGTCGGTTTGTGTTTCAAATTGATTAGCTTCATGTACAAAGCAAAAAAATATTCACCACAATCCGATGATAATTTTTTCCGTTTATCTAATTCAAAATTTCAACTATTATCTTGCTAGCATCCCCAAATGAAACACTTTACTAGAGTAACTTCAGTTGGAAACTTATAACGCAATATAAACCTTAACAGACGATTCCAAATTGTTTATTCTCATTTTAGATTTGTATGAGTAGATTTTTTTCAAATTTCACGTTGAAATTCGCCACCGAACGAGAGGTTATGTCGTACAAAAACATCCCTTAGTGGTCTTTGTTGTCTTTAAAATACTTTAGACGAAACCCCTGTTTACGAAAATTGGGTTACTTCAAACGTTCATACTTTTCCTACCAATAATGTAATCGGTGTAAACTAAATGTGTATAAGCTTAGTGCTACAAGCAGCTGCTTTGGATCCTAATTCATCAACGTTTACGATTGTTTACAATCGAAATTTACTAATGAGTTTACAAAGGCTAATTTTTACTCCCTAGGTACAGACGAAAGACGAAACGATCAAATCACTAAACAAAAAGGTGAATGTTTCCATTAGAAAATTAAATTGAAAAAAAGTAGTTTTGAGAGGTCATCTTTAAATGAAAACTGTTAAATTTTTGTAACATAGTTTGTTCAAATAATGAATGTGACGAAAAATATAGTTTATCACACGGGCAAAAAGTTTCTTTTCAACCCAACATTTTCCAACTTAGAAAAAGGTTGTAACTTTACCTCGGGTCAAGAGTCACTTTAGGCCCTAGTGATGAAATGCACTATTGTGTGCAGTTGAGAAAATAAAAAGAACATTGATACAAAATTGGGAAGGTGTGTGGCAAATTGTACAATGACCCAAAAATCGTCCAAACTGTACAGAAGATTTTTTAACAAACTTGTTTACACTCAGTTTACATAATTTACCAAATTTGATTTGCAATTTTATCTGCCGTCAACGTAACGAGATTTGGAGGACATAAACAAGTTGAGTTCTGATGACGTTGTTTATACAAACGTAGCAAGTGCTGACGTCGTAAAAAGAAGCGGGGTCGATCTAAGTTTTTTACATCTTTCACTAACTGCTACGGTGAACAAGTGAAGTTATAAAGTGAAGGGTAGGTAGCTGACTCATAGGACAAGCTGGAAAATGAGTTTTCACAAGTTTTTCCGTTGGTTTTGATTTTTTCGCAAATGCAATTGTGCAAAGGTACTTTAAGATTTTATTTTTGTAATAAATTGCAAAATATGTTGTTATGTGTTAATGTCATGTTAACTTCTTGATCAGCATCGTACGTGTTATAAAATTACCTGAAAAAAATATATATATACGTCTAATAACATTTTGTAATAGAAAAAAAGCTAAAAAAGAAGCTAGGCTAGGTGGACAACGCTATTCCATTTCAAATCAAATGTTTCAAAGGTATCGATTGAAATACCAACATTGCCCTTAATAGTACGTTATAGGATACCGTTTACACGTACAGTACATCAAATAACAAAAAGCACAATTGGAGCAATATTTAAAATAAAATATATTCATATTAGACGAACAAACTTGATTTTCTCTTTCGATTGATAGTATATTTTTTACTTATGCTTACCCCTGTTTAAGTAAAAATTTTAAATAAAATAAATTTTGCTAAAAAAGGAAAAGACCGCGTAGTAATGAATACAGAGGGTTTGGTCTATGTTAATATCTATATTTTAGACGGTTTTTTCGCTTTGTTTATTCTTTTGAGCAGTAAACCAAATATTAACCAAATAAATGACTACAAAATACGTTAGCAAGTATTTCACAGCTGATCGTTGTTTGTTCATTTTCCTACAATAAAAGCCCGAAGCCGCCTTATCGCAGCAGAGAAAGGACGGCGTAAAAAACAAATTACTCTTTTTCCCTCCATCCCGCGTTGATGGTGTTTTGGTGACGGGCGGTGTGTAATTAGCGCGGGAAAAACATCTCTTTTCAGCGGGAAACTTGTGATTAGCTGTCCATCACGCTTTTAAATTTTATTTTACCAAACTAAACATTCGAAAATTGAATGTTGTAACAAGTGTGTCTTTTTGGAAACTATTTTTCGGAAATTGATTAAAAGTGTATATAGTTTTTAAAAACTTAATAGTTAATTGTGTGCCTACCTGCTGCAAAAAATTGGGATTAGGTTGAAAAAGGCACAATGCAAAATAATAGCACTAACCTGTACTGTTTAGACAAAAAAAAATGGTACTACCCCCAATGCTGTAAGTACGGTTCAAAATCTACTGCAAGTTTTTTTTATTTACTCCTCCCATAAAATATTATTGTTACTTCCACTGCTTATTGACAAAGGTTGTGACAAGCTAATACGAATAAATATGTGCTGATACCGTTTATTTTATTTTGTTTCTGATGTATACTTCAGCCACCGTCAACGAACGCTAATCTGTACGGTTGGTTCATAAGCCACCAGCCACTCCTAGATTCCTCTCTACCAGGATACGTTGATGTGACTAGTGACTTTTATGACGACTACAGAGCAGTAGGCGGAATGTAATTGTAAGATGTGAAGTGGCGACAGTGCGGCACCTATACTTACCATACAATACGTCTGTCACATAACTGTCACATAATGTGTCAAGCAGTCGTCATCGCGTCACCACATAACGGGCCACAGGGAATACTGTGCGAATGTGTGTAGGAGCGCTACAGGTTTGAAAAGTATCGAATCTGGGAAGGAAGGAGGATTAAAGTTATGGATCTGTGTATTTTTGCTGCAGCAAGGTAGGCTCATGTTATGATAAGGAAATTGTCTAAGAAAATCTTTTATTTTATATATGTATTTAACGTGTTTGTAAACAATCTTGATAATCTTACATAACTTTTTATTCGGCTACGATTAATCACGTTTGTGGGCCTATTAGGGTTGTATTTAATAATTTTTATAAGTATGCCATTTTAGGAAAGGTCATTTATTTGTACTTAGCCGAGATTTTTACCCATGTAATGACTTACACGTGTCAGAGTTATGGCGTCATTTGACGGTAAAATAGAAGGCTATTTGACGGCGTTGGCCCAAGAGTGTGTGATGAATCTCTCTAATGACCGACGGTAAAATGTCCTCTAAAGGTCCTCCTTTACTGTAGGTTGTAACGAAATAAGTAAACCTTTAGCAAAAATAATTTTTAACTACGTAAGAGTATTTTTGTCATACTTCAGTAAAAACAGCCGTTTTTAATACATGCGTTGCAGGTTTCAAGTAGCATTATTACTCTCTAGGGAGTAAAAGTCGTTTTTAGTCTCTAGGGATTTAAAAATAGCTGTTGTAAACAGTTGTAAATTTTGATTGTGGCAATCGTATCCATGGAAATTATTTATCGGTTGATTTATTAGGTAAGGTTTTAGCCTATTGTTGTCGATTGCAATGGACGAAATGATTGAATCGCTTACTTAACAGCTGCTTATTTGCATTAGCAGAATTGAAAACAATCTGGAAGTCGTTTTGAGAGGTTATCTTTAAAACACATTATTTCGTTTTCTAGCTAATTTTGTTAATTAATGATGCAATATGACGAAAAATATAGTTCACCACACGGGCAAAAAGAGTCACTTTAGGCCCTAGTGATGAAATATACTATTTTAGTATAACTTTTTTTTTATCACCACACAATAAAGTAGACCTGGCTACAGTTAGATATTATATTTGTGTACAAAATAATCTTGATACCGAACCTGTTATGTTGTCAAACCCCAGACTACCTATTAACTACAGGCTATAGTGCACCGTTGACCTCTCGGTCCGTTGCACAGTTAT